GGCAACACAGATCATGTGTTAGGGAGTTCTTTTTACCTAAACTACCCTAAAAAAGGTTTTGCAGCGCTGTTCCCTCGCTGGCTCCTTGGTGCTGGTGAGGTGCTAAACTCTTCAAACCCCCAAAACCTGCCGAGCCAGGGGCTGGGCATCCCACACAGCAGTGTGAGAGAAAGGAAGGAATAGCCAAAACCCAAGTGTGTGTTTGTGTGGCATATTGGGGTGCTCTGCCCCTCTCCAAGAAGTTTGTAAGATGGCCCTGCCACTCAGGGCTTTGCCAGCACAGGATCTGTATCTCTCTCTGTGCTATACCTCTGTATCTCAAGCATATTATATATAGTCCACACACAGAGAAGGAGAAGGCAGAGTGTGCCCAATGGCTTGTTTGGTTTTCCAAACTATATTAGTTGATCTAATAAAAGATATTACACCTCCCTCCAGCTTTGCTTAGCTCAGGGCAGTGTGGCTGCAGGAGGACTGAGGCTCTGTGTGTTCAGGCAATGGATTTGATAGAAGCCATAAAAATTGTGCTCTCCTGTCTGCTTTAAATTAGGAATAAGAAGCAAAACACAATGAGAGCTGGCACAGAAAATGGGATCCTAATGCAGAGTACAGAGAAATAGAATTACTGCAAAAGCACCAGAAAACTGGGAGGGAAATTGCAGCTCCTGGAACTGGGAAGCCACAGCTCTGTCAGAATACTTTTGCTTATGAGTCAGGCCCTCAAAAATTAAAAGATTAAAGGTCATGAGATTTGAGGAAAATTGTCAGAGCTGTTAGCTCCATAAGGGCATTTTGGTTTGTAAGGGTCTGGGACACATTTAGGCTGTGCTTTCTAGTTGTCTCCTGAAGACAGGAGGGGTTAAAAATTCCTGGTTGGAGCATTTATCACCTGCCCCCAGAGGCTGAAGCTTCACACATGCAATATTTGTGCTGAAGTCAAATGAGTTGAGAGCAACACATGCCTTCCCCCAGGGGAGTTGAATCCTTCTTAGAAATGACTGGGCATTTACACCAAAGTTCACCTCATCTTGTTCCACATGGATGGGATTTCTTGTGGGGAGGAAAATAAGCTGGGATTGGGGATAGGCATGGCTGGGTCCAGGGAACCCCTATGCCTGTTTGTATCAGGTCAGGTTCTGGCTCTGCCTCCCTGCAATGGAGCTCACCAGCTCTTGGCATTGATGTCAAGATGAAAAACCACTTGGGAACCCACTCTGAAAGCCATTTCAGAGGCCACGGCCATGGCCACAGCCCCTCCTATCCCCTCCCAGTCACTGGGCACAGGCTCAGCTGCACAACTGGGTGCACTGGGGCTGGGGGACCCTTTCTGCACTCCCTGTTTGCTTCGGGGAAAAGACAAGCAGGGAACTGCTTGCTGTGTGCACCTTTGGAGAGGCTTGAGGGGATGAGTGTGGCCAGGACAACTGAGCATGGACACTGAGGGAGTTGTGCTTTGCCTTTGCCCAGGAAGTCCAGGTCATCAGGTTCTGCCAGGAGAGCATGCAGCAGTGCCTGCACAGAGTGACATCCCAGCTCAGGTAAGAAGGGGCTCTGGTCTCTTGCTGCAGGGCTGATGTACATTTCCAGCTGTAATGTGAACCCCCAGCAGATCCCTCCTCTACCCACACCCCGTGCAGGCTCCATGGGAAGTGGGCAGTGATGCTGGTGGGAGCTGCAGGGATGCAGGATGGGGAGGAAACCATTCCACCCTGACATCCCCACAGAGACCTGTGGTTTGTGTGCTGCAGGTACAACCAGGAGGCTTGGCAGGAGCTGATGAAGGACCTGACTGACAAGCAGATGGACATCGACAACAAGTGCTACCAGCAGGAGGACACCTCCACAGACACCAGCTTCTCCCCAGGAGTGGAGAAGGTCGATGCCAAGTGAGTGCACACTGGGCAGCACTGTGGGGTCCCTGGGAGGCACAGTGCCTTTCCCTGGAAGGGAGCTGAGTTCTCCCAGCCCACTGTCAAGGGATGTATCTCTGCATGGCACATCCATCCCACCTGGTTCACCCACCTCCAAGGGGTTGTTTCTCTCCATAAAGGGAGAACAACCCTCTGCTTTCAGCTGGATGCTGAACATCCAGCAGGCAAAAGTGAGGCCAAGCTAATCAAACATTCTATCGGGGTTTAGAGATCAGCCTGGAAGCAAATCCAGCCCAACACCTCTGCACAGCTCTTTAAGTTCATGCATATTTTCAAGGCTGTGTCAGTGTTTGCCTGAGTGCTCCTCACTGACTGAAAGTGTGGGGGGTTCACCCCTGCCTGGAGAGAGCCTGGCAGGGAGCTGAAATGACACAGGAGATAGAGAAATAGAGAGTGTGGTCCTGGGATAGGGTTCAGCTGCTTTTGGGTGCCAGGAATTTGGCTTTGCCTCTGCAGTAAATGAACAGTGACCTAAGCCCCCATTTGCAGAGTTATGGCCTAAGTGGCAAAGGGCTGAGGAAATAAATCTGCCACTCACACAGACCCAGAGAGGCATAGATTGATTCCATTTTTCTAATAGTTTGAATAATTATTCCCAGTAGAGCTCAGACCTATTTAGACAGGAAAATGGATTGCAAAGGATGGAGGCCAAAATTCAGAGGGGTAAAATGTGCCGAGAATCAGCATGTTTGAAACGGAGCTTATGTGGTATTTAAGTCTTTGTTGACCTTGTTCTGGACTACTGCACAGGCCTCAACTTCATCCCCCGTGCACAGACAGGGAATGGATTGGGGTCTAGTGCTGGTGCAGTTTAGTGTGAAACTGAGATGGGCAACAATCAAATGAAGAGCATAGATTTCATCTCTGTTTAATCCTCACTGCTCACCCTCAGCAGCCTCAGCACAGTCTCACCAGGGCCTCTCCTTTCCCCTCTAGGGTCTCGGTGCCAGAGACACAGGCCACGTTCACCGACAGCAAGATCCTCATCGCTCAGTCCACCCGGGCGACCTCGGCCAGGCTGAGAGGCAACATGGAGAGCCTCCTCACGGGCACAGCTGATGACACGTGGCACCAGTTCCACAGGGTCAACGGTGCCATCTCCAGCCGCATCACCGAGATGGTCAACACCAAGACAGCCTCCTCACGGGCACAGCTGATGACATGTGGCGCCAGTTCCACAGGGTCAACAGTGCCATCGCCAGCCGCATCACTGAGATGCTCAACACCAAGAGCAAGATTCAGACCCACCTGGCCAAGGTAGCTTGAACCCCTCCCTCTCCACATCCCTTCCCACTTTGACTGGTCAGCCACTGTAATATTGCCCAGGGAGGTGATGGAGTCACCATCCCTGGAGGTGTTTAAGAGGTGTCTGGATCTGGCACTGCAGGATATGATTTAGGGCTTAGGGGTTCCAACAGTGGCAGGTTAAGGGTTGGATTTGATGATCTTAGAGGTCTCCTCCAACCTTGATGGTTCTGAGTCTGACATCATCTCAAGGGATGGTTATCCTTGTGCTTTCTGCCTTGCTCTGCCAAGGAGCAGTGGAGATCAGTGATGGGCACCGGGCTCAGACCAGCAGGTCCCAGGGAAAGCTTCCTAGAAAGTGCTGGAGATGATATTGATTAAGTGAGCAGACACTGGGCTTGCAGCACTGAGGGCTGATGCCACATCCTTTTGTGAGGAGCCATTAAAAACATTCCCTCTATTAGCTGATGGTTGCCCAGGGAGGCTGTGGCTGCCCCAGCCCTGGCAGTGTTCACAGCCAAGTTGGCTCAAACCTTGAGCAACCTGCTCTGGTGGGAGGTGTCCCTGCCCAGTGCAGAGGCTTGGAACTGGATGTCCTTTAAGCTCCAGTCCAAGTCCTTAACATACTATGATACTGTGATCAGTTCCTACAAGCAGGAATTTTGGCAGGCTAGTCATTCAATAGATCCATCACTGCTCCAAAACTTCCTCTGATGTGACTGAAACAGCAAAGAGAGGCTTTTCCCTGACAACTCTGCTGGATCTGTGCCTTGATGAGTGACAATGGTCTGAGCACAGAGTCTCAACTGAGCTTGGGTTTTGTCCTGCACACAGACAGGAGAGAAGGGAACTGATGTGGTCACTTGAGAGGACATATTTTGATTAATACATGTGGTCTTATTCACCCCAGACCCAGAACGAAATCTTCCGTATGGAGGCAAACATACGAATCATCGAGAGAACCATAAAGGACAAAGAGGTTGAGCTGAAAGTGGCTCAGACCCACCTGGATGAGCACACGAAGAGACCCAGTGTGGTGCTGTGCTGGGACAATGCCCAGCACTGGTAAGGCAGGGCTAGCAGGGCCTTGAGGAGGCACTGGGGGTAGCACTCAGGAGTATCAGAGGATGACAAAAATAATCCTTTTTTCCGCTAACTAGTCCTTCCCTAAGTGCCCTGGTGGAATCTAAGGCGATGAGCAGCTGTCCTAGCTTTAGGCTGGGGAGAGCTCTGCACCCATGGCTGGGTGCAGCCTCAGGCCACCCCATGAGGGGCTGGATGTTTCCTATTTGGGTAAACCTCATCTTCTCTCCTGCCTGATCCTGGTGGCTGGAAAAGCTCAATTTTGAAGGACAAGTCCTTTACTCTCTCTGTTGTGGGGAGAGAACTTCAAGGGGCTTATAAAAATGAAGGGGAGTAACTTTTTATATGGGCAGGTAGTGTCAGGACAAGGGACAGTGGTTTTAAGCTCAAACAGGGCAGGGGGAGATTAGATGTTAGGAAATAGTTCCCTGTGAGGGCTCTGAGGCACTGGCACAGGTTGCCCAGAGAAGCTGTGGCTGCTCCATCCCTGGAAGTATTCCAGGCTAGGTTGGATGGAGCTTGGAGCAACCTTGGGCTAGTGTTTCCCTGCCCGTGGCAGAGGGTGGAACTGGATGATCTTTAAGGTCTTTCCAACCCATGGAAGAGATCTGCCTTTGGCTTTCCCATGGACCTTCCAGGAATGGTGGTCCCAGTTGGTCTGAACATGCTGCCAAGGCAAATCCCAGGTTGCCCAGGGAGGCTGTGGCTGCCCCAACCCTGGCAGTGTTCAAATCCAGGTTGGATGAAGCCTTGAAGAACCTGGTCTGGTAGGAGGTGTCTCTGATGGGACTAGATGATCCTGAGGGTCCATTCCAACCCCTTCACATACTCTGAACACTGTGCTCAAGGGCCTTGGAATCACCTCCATGCTGGGATTGCTAACAGGGATTCTTGCTGTTTTCCAGCCTTGTCAATGAGGTCAAGGAGATCACTGAGACCCTCCGGAACCTTCAGCACGGCCTGAAAGCCTCTGAGGACATGCTGCAGATGCTGTTTTACGCCAAGGCTGTCCTGGAGTATGACCTGGCTGTCAAGAACAACTCACTCTTCATTGACAAGAAGTGCATGGCCATGCACAAGAGCTTTTTTCAGCACCGTCCACAACCCGAGACATGTCTAAACTCCCTCAGCTGAATACACAGCACCTACTGCAGGACACATTTCCAGTTTCCTTTGGAGTCCTTGCAAATATGTCATTGAAATTCCATTAATTTGTTAGAATTTCATTTCCTTATTTAAACTCTGAGGAGAAATTCATAGTTTCATAGTATGTTAAGGGGGTGGAATGGACCTTAGAGATCATCTATGGGCATGAGCTGAGACAGAGGAGATTCAGATTAGATATTAGGAAAGGTTTCTCTTTGTTAGGGTGTTCAGGTGGAATATTGCCCAGGGAGGTGGTGGAGTCACCATCCCTGGATGTGTCTAAGAGGTGTCTGGATCTGACACTGGAGGATATGGGTGTTCAGCAGTGACATGTTAATGGTTCGACTTGATGATCTTAGAGGTTTCTTCCAACCCTGATGATTCCATGATTCTGTGATCTAGTCCCCACCAAGGCTTTATCCAACCTGGCTGTGAACAACACTGCCAGGGTTGGGGCAGCCACAGCCTCCCTGGGCAACCTGGGACAGTGTCTCACCACCCTCACAGGGAAAACTTCTGCCTAATATCTAACCTAAATTTCCCTCTTTCCATTTCTCCCCATTGCTCCTTGTCCTGTCCCTGCAGTTCCTACCCAAGGGTCCCTCTGCAGCTTCCCTGGAGCCCCTTCAGCTCCTGGCAGGTTGCTCTGAGGTTTCCACACAACCTTCTCCAGGCTGAACAGTCCCAACTCTCACATAGAGGAGATGTTCCAGTCCTCCTTCGTGACCTCCTCTGGCCTTGCTCCAACATTTCCACATCCTTTTTCCTAATATCTAATCTAAATTTCCCTCTTTCAGTTTATCCCCATTACTCCTTGTCCTGTCACTACTTCTATTAATTGATAGTTTTGTTTGTTACATGCCTTACCAGGGTTATTTTTCTCCTTTGCTTTTTCACCGTGTGCCAGAAAGGAGCTGAAAATATCCTATATGCAACTAAGACTAAATCCATCCATGTGGATCCATTCCTACCTTTTCAATCCATGATTTTAGGAGCAAAACTGTCATGTCTTCCTCCTTTTGACTGTGTGTGATGTGGAAAACCATAAGAGGAAGTAAAGCTACTTATCAGAATAATTAGCTGCTGACATCCATGATGTATTTTTAATGGGGCAGCAGAAGAAACACAAACTGTCCCGGAAAGTGTTGCACTATGTGCTGTTCCAAAAGAGAAAATGTGCATTTTAAGCTGATTTTGAAGGATCATTGTCTTGCTTTGAAAAAAATTGAAATGCCATCAAAAAACATCAGTGCTGGGGCCTAAAAATGAGGAACTAGCTAATTGTAGAAAGTGCTGTGGGTTTAATTTTGGGTTCCTAATTTAGCCTCTTGTGTGGAGTTTGTTGGGGAAGCACCAAAGCCCTTTGAAGACAGAAATGAATCGGTTGAGTCCCCCCTGGCTGCCACAGTACCTGTTCTCTGCCTGCAAATCACTGATTTTACTAAGTGTTGGAATCTTCAGAGGGATAAATCTTCAATCCATCTGAGGCTCAGCATGAAAGTCACTTTGCAAATCATCTCCTTAAGCTCACATGTCACTGAAGACACTTTTGAGGTCTGTTAACCTCGGCAGAGCTGAGCTCAGCCTAAAGCCTGTGTGCACCAAGAATCCCAAAGGAGCAGAAGCTCAAGTCCTTTTCCCTCCCTTGGGAATGGAGGGCAGGGACCTCCCTGCCCAGTGTGGGAGCTCTTGGCAGCTGAGAGCATCTTTTCTTGTCTCACATCCCCAGATGAGTCCCTGCCCTCCCTGGGGCAGCCCCTGAGAGCTGTACCAGGTCCTGCCCTACCCTCAGCATCTCAGCAGGATCTCCCTGCACAACAGCAGCTCTAAACAGGAAGCAATTGTCTTTCTAACCTTTTTTTTTCACTAGCACATTTGTTTCATGGGGACTAAAAATAGATTTCCTCTACTTTGTGTGTCTCTTGGAGCCAGAGGCAGTCAGAGGCTGCAGCCACCCTTTCCAAAGGAGAGACGCAACTGCAGCAGGAAAAACTGCCCCACTGATCATCCCTTCCCTTTCTCCACTCATCTGCCTCCCCAAAACAAGCTGATGACAGGCTGAACTCACAGGGGCCTCCAGTCTTGGTAGCATCCTTGCCAGTCCTCGTGCTGCTCTGTGCAGTTACTCTCCCTTGTGTTCCTCTCCTGAAGCCTTTCCCAACCCCTGGTGATTTTGGCTGCAGCACTGGTGGCTGCCCTGGTTTGCAGGCAGAGCTGCCTGAGTTCTGAGCAGTGGAGCCTGTGAGTTTGTCCCCAGCTGAGCACAGGGCAGTGGAGGCACTCACAGCCCCTTCCTGAAAGGCTCTGACTTTTGAGTCCCTGGAGCCAAGTCCTGACATCAGCAACAACTTCACCTTCATTTCACTTCCACCCTCATTTTGGAGTGACACAAAACCATATCTAAGCTCCACCTTACTATGAAAGCACACTGATATCAGCACCCAGAGTCTCCTCTCTTCTCCAGTTTTGCTTTCAGAGCTCCCCAGACACTCATCTTTAGACTAGCCCAACTCCTTTAAGGTTTTCTCCTAACTGACAGCATTTATGTGGTGCCATAACTATCCAACTCTCCATTTTCCCGTGCTGTCCTGCCCTCTCAGTGATCCTTTGTACAACATTGCCAAAGCATTTCTTCCCTCTGTTTGAGCCATGACCAGAGGAATTTCAGTTGCAGCTTCTCTAATTTCTTTCACAAATACTTTCCACTTTCCTGCAGCAGATTTCCCAGACATTAGAGAATTCCCAAGTCCCTTTGGGGTTTCATTCTCTCCACACCAGGTTTCCATAAGTTGACAATGTTAATGTTACTTCTGGCAGCTGATACTCCCAAATCCCCCCAAGCACTTTGATCATTGAATCCTACGTGTGCTTCAGTGTGAGGCTTTTTTCCCCCTGTGATGGGAGCCAGTCCTGCCACGAAACTCCTGTCCAATGGGTCTCTAGGAAGAGGCTTTGGGTGAAATTCCAACAGACACGTGGCTTGTGGCTAGGTCTCCTGCACAGAGATGGATTTGCTTCCCATGTCAGAGCTGATGGTGAGTGAAGCCGTTTCATAGTATCAGAGATTGTTAAGGGGGTGGAATGGAGCTTAGAGATCACCCAGCCCCAACCCCTGCCCTGGGCAGGGACACCTCCCACCAGAGCAGGTTGCTCAAGGCTCATCCAACCTGGCTGTGAACACTGCCAGGGTTGGGGCAGCCACAGCCTCCCTGGGCAACCTGGGACAGTATCTCACCACTCCCACAGGGAAAACTTCTTCCTGATATATAATCTCAACTTCCTCTCTTTCAGTTTGTACCCATTCCCCCTTATCTATCACTACACTTCTAACAACTACAGTTCCTGTTCAGTTCAGTCCCAGCAGAGTTGGGTTTGGGGCTTGAGCAGCTTCTCTTTGATGGATGCACTCCAGGAGCATGGACACCAGTCCTGTCTTGTGCTGATGTGTTAGATGCCTTTGCTGCCATCCCATGAAGTGATTTCCTTTCATAGATTCCTTCTAAATCATGTCCTTGGCCACCTCATCCACCTTTCTGCACTGATAGGATGTTTCCTTTCTGCAGTCTGATGAACAAAGAGCCTGATTTTATGGCTATTTATTGCTGCCTTATTGCTGGCTTTATCAGCCAACTTGCTGAGAAAGTCTTTGGAAATTCCTTTGCATTTTACAACCATATTCCCACCCTTCTGCATCATACCAATGAACCCTGCAGAGCTGGGTTTGTTCATTAATTGTTTACTTACTAGAGGAAAGACAATAAACTAATGAACACAGGACAGTGTTGCTTCATGTCAGTCCAGGATGCAGGTGAACACTCCAGGCTGGGCTATCAAGAAGCTTTTCAGAAAGGAGGATTTGTTGTCTAAGAAAGCAAAACTCATGTCCTGCAAGAGTCTGATATGGATTTAAGTGAAATCAAGGCTTGCCAAAACCCATCTTAGCAGTATATTGCATAACTAGTGCAGATTATTATGCTCCAGGGAGAGAGAATTCCCCAAGCAGCATCAGCAGTCAGGAAAAACCACCCCCAAACTTACTGCTATCATGGAAAAAAAAAAAAAAGAAAAAAGGAGAAAAGTTTGGCAAAATGCTAAAGGAAAATTTGGGCTGTGTAGGATCATAGAAATGATTGTTCTGGCTCAGACCAAAGACCAGCAAGAGCCTGATGCAGCCTCTGCCAGAGCCAACAGAGATGCTTAGTTAAAAGCACCAGAAGAAGGCAAGTGCCCTGTGATATTTTCCCAGTCAACTTTCCCAGCTTCCAGCAATTAGTATCTCAAGGACTTCCTGAGCTGACAGAGCTGTCCTTGGATTTAATAGCCCCCAATGGATTTGTTTCACATGCTCCTGTTCCAGTTGTTCTTCGAGCCCAGGCAGAATTGCAGCATCTGCTGTGCAGGGAGCTGCAGGGGATGGAGCATCCTCACCCTCAGAGCAGGGAGGGCCACTCTGGGCAGCCTGGAGGAGGCTGGAAAAGAGGTCAAACCTGGAACTGCTGAAGCCAAAAGTGTAAAACTCAATAGTTTGGGAAAAAATGTGGCTTAAAGTCATCTTAGACGTGTCTCCTCTGTAGGTTCAGCCTCACAGTGGGCTGAATCCTGTTCTGGGCTGTCAGGAGATGAGCAGGAACCACCAGTTCTGAAAGTATCTGAGTGTGTTCAGTTGTGTCCCAGCTGGGAAGCTCAGTTGATTTTCTGGTGTTTTTAGGGTCAATGGGTTAATTTTGCTTTCATTGAAGCCAATGGGATGTTCTCCAGTGCCTTCAGCCTGGTTCTATCAGTGCTGACAATTAGCTTGGAGTTAAGAAGTTGCATTAAGTTGATTTTTGGACATGAATGCAGATAGAACTAAAAGATTATATAGACTCTTCTTGGTTTGGTGAGAAAAACAAAAGTCAGGAAAAGGAAGCTAAAGCCTTCAAGATGCGTTAGACCCTTTGTTATAGAAGTTTGATGAATATCAGTTTCCTCCTCCAGTTTTTGCTGCT